TGAGAGATAGTTGGTCGGTGTGAGGGTCTTTAGCTGATTTGCCAGACTAAGCTTGTCCCATTGACACACTTCAGCGTCTACAGGAGTAGGCGAACTCGGAGCAGCACACAGTCCAGCTGTCCCGTGGGTTAAATCAACACTGTACAACGCCCCACTGTGGTCTTGCATGTGGCACTGTGTGGTTCATTGGGTTAGAGCTTAGCGCTAAATCGACAATGCTAAAAGTGTATGCACTGATATCATTGTACAGTGAAACACATGCAAAAGAATAAGAGGATGCAAAGGAGAGTTGGCCCACTGGAATATTCCCGAGCCTTTAGTTTTCTTTATTGCAGTGGTTCGCAGCCTTTTTAATATAAAGTGTGGGCCGTTCAATCCAAAAGTAATTTTCCCCTCGCTGACTGTTTCATTTCAAACTGCTGTAAGAGGCAAAATGCGACACTAGTTGAGTATTTGACAAAAAACTAGCAAAAAACTGACAAAAGCCAGTAAAAGAAACACAATTTTGCACAGCAAAAGTTATTTTTTTCTTATTTCCTAGCGCTGTGGTAATCCTTTTGTGAGAACTGCATTTGAGACAACAAAATCCTCACATTTTCTGTTAATGATTAAATAGTCTTGAAAGTACTTCCTTTTTTAAATTAAATTATAATGCCAGAATCAACATTGCACGTCTCCCATCAAGCCAAGCATCCCAAAAATAACTCTGTGGAGGATTTTGTAGATTTCACCAGATTGTGTGTAGACAGACCGTGAGTAGTAAGAGGCTGCTACCATTTTCACCAGCATTTTGCAATTTTTGACTTCTTGACCTGAATTTCAACACAACAGATTTTTATGTCATCCTCTGCCCTATTACAGGCCTCACAGTTATTTATTTGTAGGTGTATTTGGCTTTGTAATAGTCGGCCCGCTAGCTGTAGCTTATACTGTATGTATAACCCAAGAAATAGCAGCTTGGCTTACAGATTCACACAGCCTAGCATTATCCCTGCACACAACAATAGCTCTGGGACTGCTAGGTCTATTTTTAGCCTGTTCCTACTCACAATTTGATGTTTCAATACACACAAATCAAAGCCCTTCAAACAGATGCTGCCCACACACTGGAGACCCTTTGAAACTTAAAATCTGTCAAGGCTGCTCAGATTTCTCAATGCACCTCCTTCAGTGGTTTCAGAAGAGTCTCTTTGCTTTGCTAATCTAATATTCACATCAGTGCTACACTAATAGCTCATTTAAGAGAAACTTGATTGTTCCCTCTCTTGTCTTGTCTCTGTGGATGTCTGTGCTTTTTCTCCATCTTTGTCTCTGCTTCACGTTTGCTTCTCTGCTTCACTGTGCTGTGATCCTCTGACAGGTAACATGCGCCCCCCGCGGCAGCGTTTCCGGCAACACACCTCGTCCTCCTTAGAGCGGAATCCTCATTTAAGCGACTGACAGATTATGCCGGATGAGATTATTTTTGAAACTTTACCGCTAAAGTCCCTTTGTGACGACGTGTCTGAGACTGCATTAAGACCATCCAGCTGCGCCTGTCTGTGTGGGTTTATGAGTGTGTGTGAGCCGTAATTGAGTTGCTCCAGAGCGGCAGTCATAGTAAGAGGTGTCCCAGGCTGCCTGGAATGGGTTGATAAGCTGCTCTCTAGACCAGGACACACACACACACACACAGTTCAGGCCACAGGTGACACAACCACACACAAGCTAGTGCGTGTGTGAGTGTCTTGATTCTCTCTCCCCGGGTACAGCCTCCTCTCACCCGCGGGCCCTTTGAGAAATTCACGTGTAAGCTCTGCTCAGGCTCTGGAGATTAATGTCGTTATACCTCGAGAGCTGAGAAAAAGATTCAAATACAAATTCCCTCAGCCTGTACTGAACATACACACATCTCACACATTAACATCAGTATCAAAGGATAATTGATAAAAACCTTGAATATTGTATTCAGTTTTGGCTATTGTTTATAACATTACTTACTATAGGGCTGCCACCGTTGTAAAACTGAACTGCTTTGTAGGACTTGTAAGAGTAGTTGGGGGTAAAAATCCATACAGTGACTCTGAGAAACACTCATCATCAATCATAAAACATAATATTGTCGATGCCAATATCCAATACAATGGCTAGACCAACATATCAGCCAATGTTAGCTTATTGCTGATATATGGGTGATGGTGTAAATGGTGGTCGATAAGTAATAAGAGATTGCAGTGCTGAAATGCCAAAAATATACTTGAAGTAATTTATAACACTGTCTCCATAACAGTTTGTCTGCAGGAGATCATGGACAAACGTAAATGTCCCACTATACAATTCTAATAATGAAATGTAAGGAATCCTTATCAAAAATATGTTATGTGTTCATATTAAAGGTCCAGTGTGTAGGATTTGTGACATCTAGCAGTGTAGCTTCGCCCTCCCCTTCTAAGTGTGAGGGAGTAACTAACTCATGGAAATACTTCATATCACTTTACCCTACATTTTGTTTTCTTTCTTCTTTGTTTTGGAAACTATACTTTTTCCACACAACCTGTTGAACTGCTTTTTTTGTATGGGATACATTGGGTGAGCTGAGCCTTTAGCCACGGTGACAGGCTTAGGATTTTGGAATGACTGGAAAAATGCAGCTCCCTCTTGTTCCCTTGTGTAAAATAAATGAGGATATCAATATAGGACTGTATGCTGGCGAGCTGGACAGCTTTTTCAAGTCACGCCATGACAGGATGTTCAAGATTATACTGATTCACGATTATCACGATAATGGAAATTCACTGTCCCATCCCTGGATCAGAGGTCAGATCATTATAGACTGAATATTCAATTTTTAATATAATAGTAGTTTCTAATAGTTGCTGAGGTCTATAAACGTGGTGACGGCACTATAAGGAAGTCTTGACAGGGACAGAAATGATCAGTCAGACAATCAGATAGGTTGTAAACAAGCCACAGTTCAGCCAGATTACAGACTGTAAACCACTTTGGAGAAATGTAAAACTGAAAGTGAGCACACCTGAATACTCAGTAACAATCCCTTATTGTAACCTACAATCAATTAACTACTCTTGTTTCTAACCCGTTTGGGAATCGTTGTAACCTATTACTAGTTAGGAACGATGGCTATAACTACAATAAAAAATACAACCACAACAACATACAGTATGGTCACAGCCGTCCATGCAGTTAACTCATCACACCGCTCCCTGCACCCTGTACACCTGGCGCTTTGTGTTGTGTCCAGAGGGATGGAGGCTGGTCGGCCGCAGCCTAAACACAGGAGTAAACACTGGCCTCCTGTCAACTTCAAACGCTCCGAGGATCACTGAAGGAGGGAGGAGGAGCACGCGGCGCTCTTTTGAAGCTCTGCACTCGTCTTTCTCTTTGGCCTCTTTCTATCCCACCTATTTTCCATCCTTTCCCTCACCCCTGTCGCCCCACCTACTTCCTCCCATTCTTTGTCTTTTTTGCCTCTCCAAAAAGCCTCTTCAGTCCATTCCGCTCTCCTCATCCTCTCCTCCGCTCACTTCTGTACCGTCGCTGCAGATTTCATTTTTGGTGATGGGTAATCATTGGCTGCCTCTATGTGTGTGTGCATTTTTCTAACTGGCAGCAGTCAGATGGGCTCTGTCAATGACAGCATATGGCATGTGTGAGTGACACGGAGACTATCTATAGTGTAATGTGTCTGGCAGTGTGTGTGATTGACTGACAGTGACGTTCACTTCAGTGTCAGCTGGCCCTCTGAATGGGAGGGCTTAGGTTTCTTGTTTTCTGAATAATAACCAAGTGTCACGTTTATTTCAGGCCCAGACTCCCAGCCTCATGGTGCTAAGAGGGAGCTGTTTGGTTTACAACATCAATTTCATTTTAAAGCTGCACTGATGAACATTTTTATATTAACAATGGATCAAATGATTATAATGTGAAGGAGTTGCTTGTAGTGATGAACCTACAGAGAATTGCATTTCCCCTCAGTTATACATTTACATTGTTTTGTTTTTCCAGCCAGACAGGAGACAGACAATGTGGAAAACTAGCTGGTGAACATAGTTTAGCACTCGTCTTTGGCATGTAGCAGTTAAAGAGCCACATGTCTCTTTGGGAGTTGGTGGAGAAAAAAACACAGCTAAAAGGAGAGTGAATATTAGACTTATATCCGTTTGATGTGCAGAAACACGATTCTAAGTGAATGCTAATGTTGCTCTGTTTCTGCTGGATGTGTAAATACTCAACTTATAGCAGACATAATCAAACAGTTGTTTGTTTTGCGATTGGAATCAATCCTTATGTTTTAAGAGTTTTAAGAACATTTCATTTATCAATCAGGAAGATAATCAGTGACATTATATAATACATATATTAATCTAATATGAATATAATCAAAACACTGATTTATTTACAGCCTTACTTCAAACCAGATAATCTAGTCTGTTCACCCTTTGGGCTACCCTGCTGATTCTGCTCTCCACACATAATGACAGTGGTTATGTTTAGTCCTAAAAGGAACTGTTACGAGGTTGTAGTAATAATCTGCAACATTTTCATATAAATGCTCACTTCACTTTTCTACTGATGTATTATGACTCAGCCTACGTTCGTGGCTCTGAACACCAGTTGTGAGAGACACGCTACTGTGAGGTGGAGGGAAATAATGTGTTTTACATGTCCTGCCTCACAACATAGCTAAATGTATTTTTCTAAAGAAATAAGACAAGCATTAAACACCCTGCTCTGAAAGTGTTGGTACTGTTTGCAGCTGTTGAATTGAATAGATTTGCAGATTTTATTATTATTTGTATTTTAAAGTAGAAGCAAATGTTTGGAGCAAATACTGAATGAAGTATTTCACATTGAATGACCCAGTTTGCTCAGAATAAAGAAGAAGAGGTTAGTTAGCATGAGTGACACTCACCATATCTGAACAAACAGTACAGTACTTGTTGAGATAGTAAAAAGCAGCAGCCTTCCATTTTACAATGTTTGTCTCTGTCCTCGGCCAGGTGAGAGTGCGATGAGGAGAGGTTTCAGAGTGTGAGGCCATGGGCTGCACCTCGGCCAAGCAGGTGTCGGCCGTGCCCAACGATGAGGAGGGACGCGGCAAGGCCTACAGCAACGGAGACCTCTTCACCGGTCAGTACGCATGCACACGCACACACACACACACACACACACACATACACACAGATGTCAATAAAAGCTTCACGGCTCCATTTCACTCCGTTAATTGCTCAGCGCAGACCCATTGCCCCGTCTGACCTCACAATATATTCTCTTCATTATAGCTCATAGTCCTCTGGCAGAGTGTTAGGTTCTCCATTTCAGACAATAACTGTCAACACCACAGTTTTATTGGAGTCATCCGCGCTGACACTTCATGTTCGAGAGAGGAAGTAACCAGTTAGTGAGACTGCAGTGTTTAACTCCGTGCCCGCTCAGGTGTTTTTTATCCGTGACACTCTTGTTATTTTGATTTTTGGGAGTGAAGAGAGAGAAAAAAGAGAGGAACGGAAAGGAAGGAGATTGTGAAAGGGGTACGCCACACTTACGTGATCTTTTCTCTGGTTCTGGAGGAAGTTTTCCAAAGTTTGATACCTTTATGATGTAGTTGGAAAC